TGCAGCGCTTATGGCTGAATAGGGATCAGGTAACAATCATAGAGAACATCACTGCAGCGCTTATGGCTGAATAGAGATCAGGTAACAGTCATAAAGAACATTACTGCAGCGCTTATGGCTGAATAGAGATCAGGTAACAGTCATACTGAAACAATGTTCTGGTCCTTACTGCCCTATGGCTGCATAGGAGTTTCTTGCCTGTAATCTTTACAGGAGCAGAGCACCAGGTCTTAATTCACTGTGGGTGGGTTTGGAACTGCCAGCCATAAGAACAGAAGCTGACTGCGAACTGCTCTCTGACAACTGGGACCCTTGGTGTGGAGAATAATCTTTGGGGAACACAGACTTAGACATTTAAGGATTTAGAGCTAAAGGAACATTATGCTTCCACCTAGCTTTCAACGACATTAAAAACTACATCCAGATAGAAAAAGAGGGAGTTAGGTTGTTGGCAAAGCAAACAGAGCACAATGTGTACAAGGCCTGACTCTAGGTGAAGAGTAAGCACGGGAATTCTTTTTTACTCTTTCTGCCACTTAAAAAGTCTGAAATTGTATCAGCAGTAAAAGGTAAGGAAAAAAAGGAAAAAAGAGGGCCCTAAAACAAAGCAAAGTAAAGAAAAATCAAAGACTATGTAGTGTCTCTAGTCCCTGTCGTATGTCCCTGATAGATTGTAAAAACCAGTATGGTTTTACACTGACCAAAATCCTATCCCCTTTCTCTTTATTTATTTTCTGTATGTTTTTTGAAATAGTTTATTGTGCCGTGATCTAAGTGAAAGCTTCTACAGAAAATTAATATCTCATTTAACAATTCACACACAATTGCTTGTGACATTGGTTGCTGTTTTTCCCTTTCTCTTGAAACCAGAGCACATAGAATCCAAACTCTATACTTTTGTGAGGAGCTATACAGGATACGAGGGGAGGAGTAAACTGAGATGGAAAAAAAAACAAACAAACTGGCCAACAGTCCACTGTATCAATTATGCCTACACAGAATTGGGAAAATGCTTGGCAATACAGAATATTTTTAAAAGAAATAATACATAATGAAAGTAAAAGTAGATGAAATTTCATCGATGGCAGAAGAGCAAAAGCTTTATACAACCACTTCTGAAAATAGCCAAACCTTTGTTCATTTCTAAGAATGAATGAGCTGAAGGCTCACTAATGATAACATGTTTGGGAAATATTTACTGACTTACAGTTCCTTTAGGAAAAGACTAGCAATTTCAAATGACAACCTAAGATTTTGTAGACATAGACAGGTAGGGACATTAGTAGATCAGTAGAAAGAGAAAAGATCTAGAGAGCTCTACTGTTTGTATCCCTAATCTATTAGTACTGAATTAATTATAGGCTAACCATGTTACCCGAGCTTATAAAATAAAATTTCTCAAAGGGAGAAAAAAAAAGCTACAATTAGTCAAAGAGCTGCAGACTCAAAAATAAAAGAGGATAAAGTAGCTGGATCTGTGGAACTAAGGAATCTATAAATATCAAATCAGTATATTAAAGAAATAATTACAGAATAAGCATCATTCTACTGTACCTAATATATAAATTGATTCATAATCAATATGGAACAATAAAGTGAATTTGAACAAACCAATTCAGAAAACATTGCTATCATTGATAATATGCTGAATAAAACGATCTACTTTTTAGATGAGTGTCACATTGTTAAAAAAAACAAACAAACAGCAGCAATCACTTTTATTTTTTTAATTCATGAGTTTTTGAGGACCACTTCAAATGCCACCTCCTTCATGAAGCTCTTTCTCATCATCTCCTCACTGGAGTGTAAACTTTCAACCTCTGGATCTTTTTAGTTTTGTTTTGGTCTGTTTGTTACTAATAAAATTCTACTTACTACCAGAGTTTCGTGTGCACATTTTTATCCCCTATTCTAGAAGGCTGAAATTATATTTTATTCAATTTCTGCAAGGTCTAGAACAATGTAGACAGTATAAACTAGTAAGCAGTTGTCCAATTGAACTAAAGGAATAATCAGCGATTCGACACATGTAAGACCAGTCTGGGAAGATTCTCAGTTTAGAAGTTAAATAATAGTATTTGCACAGTATGAAGAATCTGTGCTACAAGTATAATGGCTAAGAAAGCACTCCAGAGAGGGTCATGAAGAGGCAGAGAGAGGAAATGGAATGAGTGAACGATGAGAAAGAAAAGATAAACAGCTTTGCTTAATTGTATCAGAACCCACAAAGCATATGTACAAATATATCAATAAGGGAAATAAGAGTAGTAAAGATAAGTGACAGATATGAGTACTAGATTTGTAGAAGATCGCAAAACCTACGGTCATGAATTTATTTCAAGAGACTTCCAGGAAGAAGAATAATAACATGGTTAAAATAGCACTGAGGACAAAGTGCTTCCCAGCTGGAGTGTAGTTGCATAGCTCTCTCCTTTTATACCAGATGACTATATAATTCTCATCTGAACTGGGATAGCACTAAATAAAAAAGGGTGCCATTAATAATTATTCTATCACAACAGATATACATTAGAATTGTTCCACGCAAACTGGAATATATGGTCACCCTACTCAGACCAACTCTGCCCACTTTGATTCTTTCTCCAGGTTCAACCATTTCAAAAGGCTGGATTCATTTTCTTGCTTATTTTTTCCTCACTTACCCAAACCAAACAAGAGGAGAATTACCATCTAGTACTCATGGCTCTACCTAGTTAAACAGTACCTACCTGGCAAAATCATCATCTAAAGTTTACCAATTATTTAATGAACATAAGCCATGCAGGAAAAGAATGGTAAGCCTTTTCAAAAATAAAACTTCAGCCATCGATTTATAACCAAACAAAAGACATCAACGAAATAAAACATAAATGTTTATTTTTTAAACCCCCTAGGTGAAACATCTATTTAGAATTAGGGTAGGCTGTCAGCTGTAAATATGTAAATCAGAAATAAAAGGGATCTTACCTTGAGAACTTTGGGAGGACTCTGTAGAAGAGGAACTACTATCTGTGTAACTCTGTGACTCTTCCTTTCCCTCCTGAACAGATGCATTACCAGCCTCTGCTACCCTGGATGCTTGCTGTAATGTTTCTGTTACCAGCTGCCTTGTTTGTTCACTAACAACTGTAGCCTGAAATGTCACTGGTTTAGGTTTAATAAGAACCTAAAAGAAAGCAGAAATATATCCAAATGAAATTTTAGAGCACTGTTTAAAATTCTCAACTTGTAGGTCACGAATAATATTGTGCAGACATTGAAAGGACAAAATGGGAAACTCTGTCCATTCATCCTGCTTTGGGCACAGCTGTTTGCTGAAAGACTAAGTCAATCTGCAGGCAAATTCCAAGTAAGCCACATGTAACTTTTTAAGTGGTACATGCCACACTACACCAACCACGATTCTGACAAGAGACTTAGCACCTGCTTTTTGTTGCCTATAACGACTTGAGCAGGCACTTTACAACCTGTAGAATGTATGATAGTAGGATGGTAGCCACAGCTAGGGGTGGCCAAACAAAAAGACACAAAGAGCCTAGATTTCCCCTGAAATTTTGGAGGCACTATACCAGTCCAGGACAGCCGCCCTCTGAATACTTATTAGCACTGAATATTTATTAGCAGATAAAAAAGAGAACCCTAATTTTGTTGAAGGCAGTATTCTTCAATTTCTTTTTATTAGAAACCAAGTGAATTCTTAATGGATACACCTACACAAAGTAAACTTACTGGGGATCCAAGTCACTGCTGAAGAGAATCTCAGTGGAGCCATGATTGAGAATTATTAGAAGTAACATGAAGGGCGTGGTGGATCAAATTCTTGGCAAAGGTTAAACCAACAGACAAATGAAACCAATAAAAAGGGAGAAAATCTCCAAACAGGATAATTCCATTTAAAAATGTGGACTTGGAGTTGACTTCAATTTGGTTCATGGAAGAAAATTTTAACTCACCATCACCAGTATCATTCTTATTTCTACTACCATAGGATTCTAAACCCTCTGGACTCTATTAAGCCACCCAATTCCAAGAACTCAAGAATGAAAACATGGACTCTCCTATGACTTAGAGGAAGCCCTGGGGGAGTAGTAGGTTATATGTGGGGCTAACATAAGGTGACCAGACGTCCCGCTTTTGGCGGCACAGTCCAGATTTTTTGAAAGAATGCATGACAGGCTAAGGTATTTGGCTTTCGCCTGCCATGTGGCTATTTCGCCAGGATGAGTTTTATCAATGGTGTCCCACTTTACCAATGTTAAAATCTGGTCACCTTAACAGCAAGTTCAACAGTTCACTAGGAGAAAGATCAAGTTTTCTGCTCCTGCAAAGATTTATAGCCTTAAAAACCCACAAAGGCAGTTCTACTCATCTTACAAGGTCACTATGAGGTCGAATCCACTCAATGGCATTGGGTTTGGTTGTCTGTTAATTTGTTTTTTATTTAATACTATAATCTATGCATGTGATGGGAAAAATGAAATTGCTACGCACAAAAATTGACTGTCAATTTGGATAGGTGTCTTATTTCTAATCATAAAATATATGTTTTTAGATGTATAAACTGTTTGGTTATGATTCAAAGAACACAGATTCTAAGTGCAAATGATTAATTTATAGGTAAACGAACACTTTTTACAAAAGCTTTACTTAAATCTTGAGCCCTACAGTTCTATGCAAAAAAAGGTTAGGAATAGTTGCTTTATCTTCTGTTGGTTAAAAAATGAACAAATCTCTAGCTTCTCTGCAACTTATGACTCAAGTGAAGCAGATTAAGCAAACAGCATGTGTTTGAAGGCCGTGAGAGCTGGTAAACAGTAAATACTTTTCTTTGAGATGCTGAATACCCTTAAGCATCTACTCCACAAAGAACATTCTGCATCTTCAGCAGAGTTTATTTCAGGGCCACTCTTTCCCCAATTTCTGTTGATGACATGACACAAATATTTAGAAATCTAGAAAAGTGCTGAAGGGTGAGGTACAGTTTTTGAAATGAGGAAAGTACACATTCAATCTTAAAATTTAGGTCTGATATGTTGTTCCTTCAGATAACTGATCTTTTCTGTCATATTTCTCCTGGGGAATTTGGGGGATGGATTTCCATAACAAACCCAAGCCAACAAAAAAAATCACCAGATCTTACACCTTACCTGTGTTTTCCCTTGCTGTCCATAAACAATTTTTGTTGGGATGATCTTAGCTGCTGGTTGAACTGTGGAACCTATTCCTTTTGGCTGAGTTACAATCATTTTGGTGATGGGTCTTGTAGCAGTAATGATAGCTGGTTTTGCTCCTGTTGGCACTGTCTGAAGAGTCTTTTCTCCCTAATTGAAGTCAATGACTACATGAGAAATTAACATGCATTTAAATGATAAATCACTATGTAAATGACTTTAAACATATTGACTGGTTTTTCTAAGAAAAAGCACCTCAGATTATATAACAAAGTACAATGTTTCTGGGTGAACAAAATCTTAGACTTGGTTGAAATGACCTTAGAAGTCATCTTAGTGAACTTTCTGTCCAAAGAAAAAACTATTTCCTGATGAGTGAGTTGAAAGACAAAAAAAAATTAAAATAAAAAGTACTACATATAAGAATACTTATTACACAGCCCCACGCATACGATATATTTATTAAAATAGAGTCAGAAAATTCTGGAAAACCCTAAAATGTTAATAATGATTATTTCTAAAAACATGATAGGTCTCTTCACACACACACACACACACACACACACACACACACACACACACATCTTTATTTTCTGATTTACCTGAAATAAACATTTATACAATGAAAGACATAATTCTGTGTAAAACAGCAGTAGCTCCATGTATCTACTCAAAGTCAACTCTCCAAGACCCCGAAATATGAAATCATAAGGGTAGATAGTACAAGTCTATATGAGGAAACCACTGGGAAAAGATCAACGGAGAGAACATTCAATGATTATATGAAAAAATTATGAAGGAAAAACTTTGAGCTTCCCCATACTTTGCGACTTGTGTGCTAATATTTTTAGTTCACTAATAGACAGCTAAATTCCATTAATTTTCACCATTTTCTGCATTTTCATCTGCTTTATTCTTAAGCATCATTTTATGGTCATTAATGAATTCAAGTCATTTTGTTTAAACTTAACCAAAGTAAGTTCAAATATAGTGGTTCCTTGCTAAATTACTGAAATTAGAAATTTAAGTCTATAAGATTAGGAAGGAAATTAAAAGATCAGAAATATCTCAGTTTTTCCAAATTTTTAGACATCATCTAAATGTACAGCCATCTAAACTTAGTAAAGTATCCAGTTGAGCTGGAAAACAGCAGTCACTCCATGAAAATGAACTAAATATAATTACAAACCTTGAAGGTTAAACTACTTGCTGAATTTACCGAGAAGAGATAAGAAGTGTCTGCTTACTTATGAGTATGATTACTTATTTTCACACCTCTTCTCCCTTCAGGGCAACATCTCTGGTTCATGTGACAAGGGTCACTGGGTTGCAAGCAGGCATGACAGTTTGCAGGGCCTGCCCAAGTATGATGACCCATTCAAAAAGTTCATCAAAACTGAATCGCAAGCTATTTTTTAAAAAGCTGCTCTGCTGTGTGTGAGAGCATGCACAAGTACACAGTGAGTACAGGTACACATGCATCAGATACATCTAATCATGAGATTATACTTTACTCTTTGATCTATGTGACCACTAAAACCTAGGACACAAGGCAGCCCCTCTTATACATCATGTTCTATGGTACTGCAAATCATACTATTCAAAATCTAAATAGTAACCTAAGTTTTAGTTTCAGTTTACTTAGTGAACTCAGCCTAGGAACAATATAAATTTTCCCAGGTAGTGAAAAAACCTAATGCTGGGTCCCTACCAACATTGCAAAAAAGGTGATGCCGAAGAGGCTTTTATAAATCTTCTTTAATGAAACATACCACTCTTATTTTCGAACAAGCCAGGCAAGGTAGGAACACCACAAAGTCTGAACAGTAGTCAAGTACCCAAAGGAACAGTAAGAAGAAAACTGTTTAAGAACTTCCTATGTGCAGGCACCTTTCTAAGCGCTTTCAAAACAACTACCACTGGCAGAGATTTATCATCTCCAAAGTACTCATGAGGAGATGAAGGAATAAAAGAGATTGAAAAAATTGGCTGAAGTGAAACTATTACTAAGCCTCGGTTTGACAAGCTTCAAAGATCTTAATAACGATGCTCAAATGCTTTCAGAATTATAACTGAATCACAAATTTATACAAGTTCTTTAAAACTAGCTCAAAGATGTAAAACTGAAAGAAACAGCCCCCATCCATTAAATTGATCCGAATCCAATGCAGGCATTTTCTTTTCGAGGCCTAAATAAATACTAGATCACTATTTGTTGGCCAGAAGCAAGACTGTCCTCTAACAAGGCTCTCCCTGTAGTTAAGTCAGTGAAGTGCTCCATCTGGAACCAAGCTAAGCTTCTAAATCATGGCCACAAACATCCTAATTATAAGCAACATGTTCCAGAAATTAAGGTAAGAACAGCCACAATAGGTGTTGTGTCAAGTCAATTATATCATGACAATGGTAAATCAGGCCATTCTGGCCACTGTGGGGCTTTGAAGTCCTTTAGGCAAATATTCTTAAAGTTTGTCTTTAAAATGCTTGTGGACTGCTGAGTCTGCAGTTCCAGCTCTTACTTACTCCAGCATTTAGCAATGTTGTGACAACATTTTTGCCCGGGAGGCCTTGAATGGTCGTTCCTTTTCCTGTAGTCTTTTGCACAACAATCACATTGGGCTTGGAAGTCATTGGGATTGTAGTGATTTTGGTGGTGGTTCCTTAGAGAAGGGAGAAGAAAAGGAGGCCTGAGTTAAGGACTGGTGATACTTGGTTATTTCTGCTTATGCTGTACACACTTAATACTTGGAGTCAGTGTCATCCCTAAGTGATACGAAGGCTGTCAAGAGGATGAAAACAAAGATATGGAAAAGTAAGTTTTAAGTCCTCCCAGAAGAGGAGAATATTAAGAGAATGGACTCTGCCTGCACTGAAGTCTACAAGTAGAAGTTGTAGAAAGGGAGAATGTTTTGTTGTGTATCTTGTTGCCAAAATTAAAAAAAATAATTATGATAATAACAATGAGTACAAGGAGAAATAACATGTTCTAAAATTGATTGTGATAATGATTGTACAACTCTTCTTGATATGATTGAACTAATGAATTGTATATGTGATAGAAGTGCCAATAAAATTGTTTAAAAAATAGGGAAAAGAAAAAAGGACTCAGATAGATATCATGCCCAAGATAGAATCTAAAACACCACTACCAATTTCTGCATCAATTGTCCTTGTCCCCACTAGTTAACTGAAATGAATACCTCTATTTCATGACAAATATTTTCCCAAACCTAGTACTTTATCTTTGAGTAGCATGATATAGAAAACATTTCAAGAAAGAAAATGATTAAAAAGTAGGAAAATAACCCAAACACTAGACTGTGAAAGATTTCATACAAAGAAATAGCCATGTATTTTTGTGTAATTAAAAAGAAGTAGCAAACATGACACTCAGATCATGTCACAGATTATATGTGTGCATTTGTAATTCATAGCACTGTGAAGAGTCTCAGTATGAAACTAATGGATATTCCAGCCCAACGTTTTCAACTATTACATTATTCTACTTTGATCTAGTGATTCAAACATATTATCATCTTGACCTCTCCCTCATGCCTTCTGCAATGTGCTCCTAGTCTGCCTATCAAACATTTTCCTTCTAATTTCTTCCAACTGCTCCATTTTCTTCTAATTGTCCGAGTGGGAAATCCTAGTGAAGAGATTTCATTTATTCCTTGCTTAGTTCACTGTATGCCCTAACCACATAGAAGCCAGCTGAGTTCCAGTGCTGGTGGTGATTGATTGATTGTTATGCAATGATTCCTCAGCGTTTGGCACATACTCAGGAGTCACTGTTCAATGAGTATGTGAAAGAATCCAGTTGGCCAAATTTGCCAGGGACATATCGCTTCTTTCAAAGTATGTCAATGTTGGCTCAGTAGTCAAGCCTTCATCCTCTGGTTTTCCAGACTGTGGTCCCATGTCAAGTTTCTCTGCCGTGTAAATAGCTCTAGGGCTCCCTGTAGATCAAACACCTTAAAAAGGTAATTTCATCATGGCATGAACCCAGAACTTATGATACCAGGCAAAAACATATTAACTATCAAACAGGAAAGTTCATATTAACTATCAAACAGGAAAGTTCAGAGTATGTACTCCAGAAAAAGTTCCCTGAGAAATCTAGTGTCAAGAAGAAAAATTGAACCAAATTGTATTCTTTTTCACTGGAAGACTATCTGGGTAAACTAGAGAAACAAATTCATAGACAATCATATGTATATAACAAAGAGCATTATATACAAGAGCAATTGAGTATTGAGAAAACATCCCAGCTCAGTCCACATGAAGTCCATAAGTCTGATATCAATCTATAAAGTCCTCTTCAGACTCACTAAACACATGCAATGATGCCAAATGCAGGAGGATCACAGGCCAGTGGGTTGGAAGTGTTGTGGATCCAGTGGCATTGTAACATCTCAGAGCTGGCAGGGGTCTACATGGCTTCTCTGGCTCCAGAGGTCTGGTTGCATCAGGGTAGGTCCATGTGGCTTCTCCAGCTCCCAGACTGTATGTAGCACCATGTGTCTTGGCAGTAGAGTGTCTCTCAGGGAGTGAGCACAGAGAGAAGTGTCTCCCGTCTCCAAGGAAGAAATACAGGAGTTCCCAGAATTCTGAGAAGGCCACGCCTACACCGAGGCCTCATTGGTTATATCTTGATTGACAGACCAAGCTCCATCCCTTCACTCGTAATCCTCTCAAATTGACACCAGATTATGTAACTACCACAAAGACCTTTTCATTTCTTCTGAGAGTTGCAGAAATAAGATTGCTTTAAGAATATTCTAGCTATGTATTAATTGTGGCAATGTTTATTATCAAAAAAACTTTTATAATATACTTGCCATCATCTGATGTCTTGTCAATCCCGGGTAGCATGCTCATAGGTTTAAATGAAAAGCACTTTTCTCTATAGGCTAGCTTCAAAATTATTTTTCCTCCTTCTTTGTAGTCTCTGAATAGTGAGCCCTTAAGAGCTCCCAAGACCAAGCAGCCCAGTATTCATTTATACCAACTTAAACACTTAAATTAACTTCAATCCCTTGTGTGACTGGTTGTATATACACCTTTTGAAATTGATGCCTCACAAAATATTTGGTTAACAAAAAAGGTGTTTTTAGAAAGTAAGCATTAAAAATTACTTCAAAGAAAAGTAAATGACACTCTAACTTTACACCAAAGCACAAAGGACTTCTTTTTTTTTAATGAAACTTTTTTAATGAGTGAATTATATCTACTAGAACAGAGGTTCTCAATTATATAATATATAATTATATAATATATAATTATATCTAGTACATATAATTTAAAATTTTTTAATTTAAAAATTTAGAAATTTCAAAAACATAGTGTAGAAGAAAACAAATATAGCATTAAATTAAATAGAATAGAATTTATCACTAAAATTAAGAATAAAAAGTTCTGAAATTCTAGTGAGCATGTTTCTAAAACTCCAGGCAGTTGTATTACTGAAGAAAGAAGTATTAGTAATTAAAAATAGTCTTCTTCTGTGCTTTCATGGCACTTAGTGTATAGTTCTGTTACAATAAGATATATTATAAAATTCAATTGTGTAGCGTTCTTTAGGTCAGAGAATACCTGTGTCACAAAACCTAGCACAGTATCTGGCTCATAGCATATCTAAGAACTCATCTAGTCTTTACTTCCAGAATCAAGACAAAATCAGTAGAACCAAATGAATCATGTTTGTATAATTGGCTGTGATTCTTACACATCCAAGTGATTCCCATTTAAAAAGATGCCTGTCAAAGTTCTAGAATTATGCGAGTAGGCTTAAAGAGCACAAATATATTAGGTCAGATTTTACTACTCAGTCTTAAATCACCTTACAATCTTGTTCTCTTGAGGAGTAAGTGGAACAGAGGACAGTGACTTAGGTTGCCTCAAAGAATGATCAAATAAAAGAATGAAAAAGTACATAAGCCACTAACTAAAAATCAATTGTGTGGTATTCTTTAGGTCAGAGAATACCTGTGTCACAAGACCTAGCACAGTATCTGGCTCATAGCATATCTAAGAACTCATCTAGTTAGTCTTTACTTCCAGAATCAAGACTAGGACTAACGACCAAAATGAAGGATTGTCATTGTCACCAGTTCTCCGAATGCCCTCCAGAGGTAATGAGTTCATCTCTGAAGAATACAGTCTTCATGATATGTGTGATTCTTCAACTCTCAGCAAAGTTCACACAAACACAAAACCCAAATCTAATACTTCTCTCTACACACACAGAGAAACACTTAGCTATAAAATATGAGTTCAACAACGGCAAAGATGGAGTCATGCCTATCACTGTTTACTCTGTTTAAAAGAAAAAAAAAAAGGCCTTTCAAGAAAACACTTTGGAAGCATTAACTTGCTTTCTAGGACACTAGGCAAAGGCAGTAAGAATTTCAGATAATAATTCATAAATAATGATGGACATCACAGGATTATTTATACTGAGAAAAATTGGAAACAACCTAAAACATTCAGCAATAACAAAATGGTTAAATTATGGCCCACCATAAACAGGAATATTATGTAGCTATTTAAAGAAAGCTGAAGATGAAGAACGATGAAACTTTCTACTCCCAAGAGTTACAGTCTTGGAAACCCAGAGGCAGTTCTACCCTGCTCTATAGGGTCGCTATGGTCTAAAATGACTCAAGTTAAAAATGCATTGATGTTATGGGGAAATTATCAATATTATATGGGAAAGGGAGTTAAACAGATGTTAGATCTGAATTCAATTTCTTAAATATACATAAGAATTAAAAATAAACTATTGTAAAAGCTTCTAAATTTTAACACATTTCCCTAGATGCTGAAAAATGCAGGTTTTAAATTTTCTCTGTTGTCTTTCTGCATTTTCTAAATTCTCAACAATGAGGGGGAAAGTACCATTTAAAAAGAAAAAAAACCTTTCACTTTTACAGCGAGAGGTCTGAGCGTACTTCAGGAAAACCACGCTTTTGTTGTGCTGGGGGTGGAAGGGAGACTCTGGAATGTAGCATCTGTTCGTGGGCATGGCAGAGCACTGTCAACCCGGCACCAAGCACACACGTTTACCAACAATCATCAACGAGGAGTAAAAACTACGAATAAACTGGTCATTCCAGAGAAGTAGAGACATAATGAGCTCCATGCAATGAGTACAACTGTTCCAACTGTGTGCCTAGTCTATCTCCTAGTCCTGGAAAAGCTCAAGAATTCCTTTCCTCTGTGCTCAGGTACTTGAAATTGCAACTAACTATCAGTTACTTTATATTTAAATACAAAAACAGCTATTATGTACACATATCTATAGGTTCTATCTATCAGATCAGCTCTCTGCTAGGAAAACTTTGCTGTGTTTTGCTTGTATTGCTCTCAACTACGACTCTAGCACTTATCTGTCAGCTCCATGGTGGCTTGCATGTTGCTGTAACGCTGGAAGCTAAGCCACTGGCATTTCGAGTAGCATCAGGGTCACCACTGTGAACGGGTTTCAGCAGAGCTTCCAGACTACAGTGGGTTAGGCAGTAGTTTCACTTCTGAAACATGACACCTTATGAATAGCAGTGGCACCGGGTCTGATAGGGTGCTGGAAGATAAGCCCCTCAGGCTGGAAGGCCCTCAAAATACGACACAGAGGCTACGACAACGTGCTCACACATAACAATTGTGAGGAAGGCCCACAACTGGGCAATGTTTCCATGAGGTCACTATGAGTCCGGACCAACTAGATAGCATTGAAGAACATCAACAACAATCGGGTACAAAGCAGTTAAACAAGGACTGAGATATGGAAACAGAAGCCCCAGGACAACCAGACATTCCTTATAGCCAAATGGCACTATAAATTCATATATAAGTAAAGGAATATCCTGACAGCCATAAAAAGCTACCAAGTAATGAAAAACATGACCACTTAAAAATTTTTTTTAATTGAATAAGTGTCCTACACTATTTAAAGACATTGTCAAGTAATAAATTATAATTTGAGTTTCAACTGAGTTATTTTAAATATCCTCTTAAAAGGTAGAATATGATGATTCTTTCCCTACTGCTTTCACCCTCCCTCAGTTTGGCAGACACTGGATTTTCTCACTTACACGTAAAAGTAGAGCCAAAATTAGCAACTTTAAATACAGTCCTTTATGCCAATACCATACCCTGCTTTGCTATTTTTTTCACTCCCTGAATTATCAGCAACATCAAATTACTGCCAGAAATTTCAATCCCCTGACTTTAAAATGTTCAAACAGCTCCCGTGGGGTATACAAAATATGGCCAGTGTTCACAAACGGTAGATACTTAAAAGGCCACAGGGCTTGCTTGATCAGAGATTATTTACATCATTTTAATTAAAAAATAATAATCAATGAAAACAGATGCCACGTCAACATTTCACTTCACATTCACAAGCCAAATACTGCAGGAATTCATGAGCCAATAAAAACCTGGTTAACTTCTAAAATACCAATAAATAGGCTGAGTGAAAAAATAATACAGAAAATTTACCCAGTCAACATAAGCATTAAAAAGCAAATAGAGATGTTTACTTTTAATAAGCTAAAGTGACATTAGTAATTGAAATTATGATATGTCCCCGCAGATATATGTAGCTAAATACTAATTTTTCCACTACCTAGTTTGTGTAGCCTTGGACAAATCAATGTTTGCCAAACCCTAAGCTAGCTTCACCTGTAAACTGGGGCTAACCACTCCGGGTGACTATGAAGTCTGTGTGGACAAATGGGAGAGTACTATGTAAAGAAAAAATATGTAAGCGAATACAAGTTATCCTCTTTCCACTCAGATTTAAAACAACTAAAGGCTCTCTAGTTTACATTCTCAACAGCTCAATGTATGAGTATTCAATATTAGAACTAAAAATGTCAATTTTATACTAAATCACTATACATAAAGGCTGAAAGCAAAGCTTTATATTTCTAAGCAGAAAACGGAGATCAAACAGAATCCCGCAATAGTTCAATATGCTTGTTTCCTTTTCCTGAAGGACACCCATACCCTGAACATATTTCGGATATACCTACCGGAAACTATATTACTACTAATGATCTTGCCCCCCAAGGTAGCCAAGGACTTGGGTACAACTGTAATGATGCTACCACTGGTAGTTTTCACATAGGTCGCAGCTCCCGGGGTTGCAGCCATTCGACCTATGGATGGGCTCACCGTTGGCCGAGTATAGGTTGCCTGTGTGCCTACAAAAAAAGAAAAACTTGTTGGTTTCTAGAAAGATAATCATTTTACATTTAACTATAATTCAACATACTCTACCTTGCTTTAACTTGAAAGAAAGTGGAATTTCAAGGTATCAAGTCATTAATTTACAACTTTACAGTTCATTTCAAATGCATACAGCAAGAACCAAAGCCAAATCAATTTAAATGAATTCTACACATAAAATTTTGCGATGTGTTGCAGCAAACTGCTAACCCAAGAAAAAGTACAGCTAACCCTGTTCGCTTCTTCCACTAGTTCTATGCCAAAAGAAACTTAAACATCATCTTTGCCGCCAGGGCATTTCTGCTATTTGTCTGTTACGGATTGGAAGGTCGCTGCATCAGTTTTATACTATCCCTATGCAAAACCCAGGAAAATAACTCAGGAAACAAGGCAGCATTGCTTGTGTAAAATGTTACAAACTTTTGCTGGTTTATATTTTGCTACTTTCTAAATATAATTCCATCTTTTAAAGAGTTATTCCATCATTTTACTAAGGATTACGGTTGAAGTTGCCAAGAATTTCCCAGAATAGTTCTCTTTAGTCTGAAAGGCTCTTTACTTATTTCCTTAACTTTAACTGACCTATAAGGATATTTTCCATCATGCCTCCAAAGAGATTTTACCTCCTTACTTCTAGGACTTTTTCCTTTTCCCGGACAAGAATTAAAAACTAACCAGATGAGACTGTTACAGTTTTATAGGTCAAAATAGCATTCCTAAACTTAGAATTATTAGTCTTGGGGAGAATGAAAAAAGGAACAAAGATAGTACCTTCTTCAAATGAAAATTTTTTCATGATAGAGACAGAGGCTACGATGATAGTCACTTTCAATAAGCCCCCAAAATAAAAAAGTGCCTTCAGAAAGTTCAGAAGAAAGATGAGGAGGCTGTCTACTCCCATAAAAATGTACTGTCTTGGAAATCATAGGCAGCAGGTCTCCTCTGTCCTATAGGGTCAATATGAGTTGGAATTGACTTGATGGCAGTGCGTTTCAGCATATAATCCATGTTTTAAAAAAATACTACTTTTGATGATATTTGTATAATAAAGGTATATGACATGAACAAGTTATAGAACAAGTTTTGTAGTGTTGAACCTGTGCCTTTGCTCTGGGGCAGTTCAAGACTGAGTTCCTTGTAGCCAATCTAAGCCCCAGTAAGTCACACCTTAAATATAGAGAAGGTCATGTGTGGTCAGTCTGAACCTAGGCTGGTCACACAACAGGAGGGGACATTGCCAGGTGTGCCTGGGTTCATGATGCCAGCTCCACATGAAGCCTGGTAGCAGATCAGTGCAGGTGAGGGAGGACACACGCTGCCCCAAATCCACGGGCTCCCCAGGAAGCCAAGCCAGTTGGCCTTCTCTCATCTGAGCAAGAGATGAGTGGCTCCTCTACATCCTTGGTTCTCATGCCACGCCCAGGTGTTGTGTAGGTGGGAGATTCAAATGGGATGAGTTTGAGTACCAGCCAGCTGGACGGTGGAGCAGAATGAACACAGCTGCAATGTACCAGCCTTGCCAGCCATGTGGCCTCTCTGGCCCATGGTGCGCAGACTCACACACCTCCTGGGTTGGGGCCAGCCATCCTGGCAAGGGCTGTTTCCAGAGCGGAAAGAATGATTTCTTCCTGCACTGGAGAAAGTGGGGTGCAGAGCAGGGAAGGAACCCTGCCGGGAAAGAGCTGCTTTAGGAACTCTAGGGCAGGCTAGTGAGGGGCTGTTGCTGGTGAGGGACTAAAGCTTCCAGGTCAACAAGCACTAAGACAGAGACTTAGGTAATATTACATCCATTAGCCAGAGTGAAAAAAGACATCATCAACATGTAAAAAATATTGATCTAGCACATCTATGAAAAAAATAAGGTGTTACTTTAGAATGTGTTATATAACATGCTACTATATAACGTGTTACTTTGAAAAATAGGGTAGCTTAAATTATTAACACACATACATCTGGGTCAGAAAAGAAAGTCTAATGTGAAGTAAATATGCTAGAGATACACACTTGGAGTTGAATTACAACTGAAAAAATTTCAAATTAAGCTTTTTATAAAGGAAAGTACTTATTCTAACATAGACATATATAGACATATTATTTTTCACTAAGAATCTCCTTGTAATGAGCAATCATATACAATATACTGTTTATGTGCAAATAGAGAAAAGTTTGGGGAAAGTATGACAAATATTCAATACAAATGTTTAAAAGCATAATCTTTGAGGTGAAATAGATGTTAGTTCAAATCCCTTATCTGCTTCTCACTGTATAGCCTTGGGCAGGTGCTTAACTTAAGTATCTGTTTTACTGATGGAAATGTAAATAATCAAGCATAAAGAGATGAAATAGAATGTTTGTACAGTGCCTTCCATTCTGGTCAATAAAGAGTAGTTTATAAACCTGAGACAGGTTATCACTTAACACTATTTAGATTGAATTACATTTAAAATAATAAACTCAAATAAAACCAAACCCACTGCCATTGAGTCGATTCCAATCGTCACCACCCAATAGGCCAGACTGCAAACATTCACAGGGAGCACTGACAGCTCCATCTTTCTTCCACAGAGTGGCTGGTAGGTTAGAACCACTGACCTTGTGACTACCAGCCCAAACCCGAACACACAGCACTCCTATAGTAATAGCTAATTCCAAAATTAATTAACAGTAATAGCTGTTGAGTATTGTGCTAAGTATTTTACCTATATGATTTCCTTTAATACACTATCCTTAGGGCATAAGTATTATGATCTCATTTAAAGAGATGATGGAAAAGATTTATGGAGATTTATTAACCCATTTAAAGTCACAAAGAATAGTCCAACTTAAAGTGTTTTCACTGTCACTTCCTAGCCCCAGGGCTGGCATCCTGGACTTCCCTCAGTCTCAGAAACATTTATTCCACTGTAATGTCATATAAACTCTCAACCTCATCAATTAGTGCCTTGTTGTAGCCTGAGAGCACATTTTCACTCACTCAACAAATCCTGACTGAACACCTCCATGTATGTGGTAAATAAAACAAACATTGTCTCTTGTCCTTGTCGGGTTTATGATAATAAGTAAAACATGAAACAAGTCAACAAACAATTAGCTAAGCAATGAGAATCTCAGTAAGTGCTCTAAAGGAAAAGAGGATCATGAGATAGGATAACAAGGCAGAGCTCATTCTAATTAGAGAGCACAGGACCAAGAAAGACCTCTTTGAAGAACCCTCCCAGCCATTTTGATACTCCCAGCATCAAGCACATCACTGCTAAGGAGAGAGAGGGGGCTCCACAAGTGTGTGATGAATGAACAGTGATGTGCAAGAACACTTACCAGTTGGAGTGGTTACCAGCTTCGTTGTCATAATTGCACCATTACTGCTAACCACCATTATAGGGGAATTACTACTGGTGGGCAGAGTTGCCGTCACTGGTTTAGGTAAGATTTTACTCGGTTGAACCTGTTGTGTGATGATTTTAACACCTTTGGAAAAAGAAAGATATAGCTCAATACAAATTATTCTTAAAAACATGTCCCTATACCAACTCAAGAGGGCAGTAGTCTCACATTTCCTCAGTCTTAGCTAGCGAGGCCTTCTCACACAATAAAACTTTTACCACTTTAGTCGTCTAGTTTTGTCTTTCCTAATTTCTCTTATTTTAGGAATACAAATAAAAATATTTACAACGTAGTAACAAAATTCTTAAAAGAAAAACCTTCCCCCTCTACTTATGATGTGTTTTAGGAGTATAAGATCTATTAAAGCAAATAAAATTTAAAGTTAGCCACTAGACCTGAACTTTCACAAGCAAATGAATGACTTGTCCCATTCAAATAGCTGCGATGAAAGGACAAAGATAGAAGTAAAAAGCAAAATGAATGTAGCACTTCTATATTCACAACTTCATCAAAGATTTTCCAAACCCTCTTCAATTATAAAAAGCTGCTAAAAAAATACATAGAGCAAATATATTCTTTTTGATGTTTTCTTTTTAGTTTTCTTCTTTTAAAAAATACCTTTAATAACTCATTTTATTAAACGCAGAATATAAAATAAAAGATATACCTTCCTACAAAAAATATGCTGTGGACAAGCACTCAACAGCAATCTGGAACAATAAAATAATAGTGTTCAATGGGACCGACAGTTCCGAGGGGACATGGGAGGGGTAGGTGGGGGGAAAGGTAGTGGTGTTAACAAACCCAGGGACAAGGGAACAAGTGATCCAAATCGGTGGCAAGGAGAGTGTAGGAGGCCTGGTAGGGCGTGATCAAGGGTAATGTAACCAAGAGAAATTACTGAAACCCAAATATAGGCTGAGCATGATAGTGGGACAAGAGGAAAGTCAAAGGAAATAAAGGAAATAGCTAGGAGGCAAAGGGTATTTATAGAGGTCTAAATAAAGGCATGCACATATGGAAATATATTTATATATGTGGATGGGGAAATAGATTTTTGTGCATGTATTTATAGGTATAGTATAAAGGTAGCAGAAGGACACTGGACCTCCACTCAAGTACTCCCTCAATACAAGAATACTTTCTTCTATTAAATTGGCATTCTATGATGCTCACCTTCCCGACACAACTACTGAAGACAAAGTGGATGAATAAGCAAATGTGAAGAAAGCTGATGGAGCCCGGCTATCAAAAGATAGAGCGTCTGGGGTCTTAAAGGCTTGAAAATAAACAAGCGGCCATCTGGCTCAGAAGCAAGAAAGGCCACATGGAAAAGCACACCAGCCTGTGCAATCACAAGGTGTCGAAGGGATCAGGGATCAGGCATCATCAGAACAAAAAATCATATCATTGTGAATGAGGTGGGGAGTGTGGAGTGGAGACCCAAAGCCCATTTGTAGGCCACTGGACATCCCCTTACAGAAGGGTCTTGGGGAGGAAACAAGCCAGTCAGGGTGCGATGTAGCAACGATGAAACATACAACTTCCCTCTAGTTCCTAAATGCTTCCTCTTCCCCCACTATCATGATCCCAATTCTACCTTACAAATCTGGCTAGACCAGAGGATGTACACTGGTACAGATAGGAACTGGAAACACAGGGAATCCAGGGCAGATGATCCCTTCCGGACCAGTGGTGTGAGTGGCGATACTGGGAGGGTGGAGGGAGGGTGAGTTGGAAAGGGGGAACTGATTGCAAGGATCTACATATAACCTCCTCCCTGGGGGACGGACAACAGAGAAGTGGGTGAAGGGAGACGTCGGATGGACAAGATATGTCAAAATAATAATTTATAAATTATCAAGGGCTCATGAGGGAGAGGGGAATGAGGAGAGAGGGGAAAAAATGAGGAGCTGATGCCAGGGGCTTAGGTGGAGAGCAAATGTTTTGAGAATGATGAGGGCAATGAATGTACGAATGTGCTTTACACAACTGATTTAGTATGGATTGTGCTAAGAGTTGTATGAGCCCCTAATAAAACGATTAAAAAAAAGAAAGAAAGAAAGAAATACAAGTCTTCAGGTGCTAGTGATGTAATTTTCTTTCTACATTTTCCAAGTTTGTTTCTAAGATGTTATATTTGGTACATAACTTAAAATATTAAATGTAAAATTCACAGCTAACTACTAACTTAAGTATTAATAATTTCAACTATGGAAGAAAAAAATTAGGTAACATTTCTACCCCCTCCCTCCATACCTGCCCCCATAAATTCAGTGAAATAATTCATGGGGTAGAATATATTGCTATAGAAAACCGAGAATTACATTACATTTTAGACAGTGACTTAGATCAAAACATTAAGAAGCAGATTAATTATTTCCTTAAAGTCTCAATGTCAAACTTCCTGTAACCAACAAAATAAGTTTAAATTACTACGTAGTTAGGCATTTACTTAATCTATGTGATGTAAGGACAAACAATAAAGAAAACTATTCAAGAAAATGTCTGAAAATTCAGCAAGCAAATTGAGAATCTGCAGTATTTGAAACCAAACTTATTCTCTTCTCCCCTCTCCCAGCTCACTGAGGACTGCACTCCAGAGTCAAACCCACGGGATCCCTGAATACAAAAATAAGTATTAGGGTGCTGAGTTTCTGTCTTAAACATTTTCAAACATTGTATTTACCAGGTTGTATTTGTTACATGGCCTTTCCGAACGTAAAATGCTAATTTAAAAGAAAATTCCTTCTCACTACTAACAGAGAGGGAAAATTTTGGGGTAGCACACATTGGCAGAAGAAATTTGGGGTAACACTTGCCAGGGTCAGTCTGGGAGGCAAGACTTCAGCATTCCTTATTTTGCTCTTTGCTTGCTCTCTGTTGCTGGGGTGAAGTCCCAAAGAAGTGTGTCTGAGATAAGAGTTTTATTTTCAACTCACCCCACACACACGGAAAGGAAGCTCTACCTTGGATGTGCCATGACTGAGAACACTGAAGCCGTGGTAACCTGCCCTCACGCAGGCAGCAATGGTTGCATGCAAGGAGAGGCAAACAGAGAATCTCGGGCTGCTGGCCCCAACCCAACAAACGTTCAACTTCTAGAGAAAGGGGGTCATTCCTCTGCCAATTTCCCCACCCACGGTCCCAAAGGAGTGGATTTCATTTACAACAGAACACAGAGAAGTTCAAGATGAGGGGGATTCTCAAGAATGATGGATATTGTAGAAAGGCAACAGGATTGTGTATTTAATGGATTTTAGGCTAATTTGTGGGAGAAAATGGACAAACAGGCAACTGGAAGGCTAGCACATAACGATAAAAGAACCCATCCACAAGGAATATATAACATTTCTAAATATATAGGCACCAATTGATAGATGTCTCAAAATACATGAAACAAAAACTGAGAGTTGTTTTCGAGTGGTGAAACACAGCAATTATGAATGGGGTGTCAATATCCTAATCTTAGCAACTGACAGAACTTTCAGACAGCAAGGATATAAATCAACCAACTAGATCTAACTACTATATGAGGAGGTACCCCCCCAAAACAGTGTGATGTGAGGGGGATAGTCCAATTGGAGTTCTTTCCACCAGGTCAGACTGTTAATCAAGCTTTCTATTTAGAGGTTCTGAAAAGATCTGCATAGCAGTGTATAAAAAAAAAATGTCCTGATGATTTGTGTCAGACGAAGGACTGGTTTTGCCACCACAACAATGCACCTGCTTACAAAGCCACCTCAGTGCACCAGTTTTTGGCAAAAAAAATGCATGCCTCTCTTGTCCCACCTACCTGACTCACTTGACCCCACTCCATGCGACTTCTTTTTGTTTCTGTGAATGAAGAGGGACATGAAAGGACAGCAATTTGATGATGAAGAAGAGGTGAAGAAAAATACGAGGGAGATGCTGTCAGCCATCCAAACAGATGAATTTGAAAAATGTTTCCAAGAATGTCAAATCACAGATTTGACCGTATTAAGTATAATGGAGAGTACTTTGAAGGTGTTAAGGTTGTTTTATTAAAAAAAATTTTTTTAAATACATAGCTTTGAGGAAAAAATTCCAGTTTGGGTTACCCCCTGGTATACCCAACAATAGTAGAACAGATATGTCACAAGTGCTAAAGAACATGACAAAATTAAAGCACATCCTGGGCCAAACGAAAAGAAAGACATGAAAAAGGACACACCTACAATGGAATAAAACTGTATTTATAGGAAGCCTAATTGCCTACGTAGGAATCTATGAAAATACTTTCAGTAATAATTTGTGAATTCAGCAGTCAAAGAATACTTATGTACATTAGCAGAGAACATGTGGAAACAGATTTAAATCACAATACCATTTTAATCACTCCTGTGGGATGCAGAAGGGTTTTCCACCAGCTTGTCCCTCCCAAATATGCCAAACCTAAGACGCTGCTTGCAATACTTGGTGACTGTACCCCTGGAGGTCAACACCAGCTGCTTGGAGGTTATCTCCCTGAGGGCATCAGCCGTCTAGCGCAATCAGACTCTATGGTCTGTCCCACCCTAAGTAGGGCCCATTCCCTGCTGATACGGATGGAGGATTGTTTCCCTGAAGGAGAGCCCAGAGACAAGGTCAAGCCAACTCAAGGAAAACCAGGGTTAGGCTGCCATCTTGAATCTAGGATCCGCCCATCTTGTCACATGTGTACCCCCTAGTACCTCCCCTTCCTATTACATGTACACCCCTAGCTCATCCCCTTCCTGTGACACATATGCCTATTGTACAGCCCCTTCCTGTTACGTATGTGGTCACCTATAATCAGGGGGATTTGCACAGCTTCTAAGTATGCACTTATAGATATGTAAGTATATTAGTATATAAGTTGTGATTAGAAATATACTCTTTCTCTCTGTGCGGACCTGGTTGCTAAGATCATGGCTGTCCCTGAGGTGAGCATGCTACCATGAAATGTGTCTGACTCCTTTATTCTACTCTTTCTGTGACCCCCTCCTATTCTCTGACTTCACTATAATCTTTATATATGATCGCCGTACAATTGCGCCCATGTACCCTGCAGTTGTCTGACACATTCCCCAAAAAAGAAATGTTGTTAGGTGCTAATGAGTCAGTTCCGACTCACAGCGACCCAGCGTACAGCAGAATGAAACACCGCCCAGTCCAGTGCCATGCTCACAACTGTTCATGTTTGAGCCCATGTTGCAGCCACTGTGTCAATCTAACAAAACAGATTAGGGCTTGTATGCTGAGAACTAAAAAATACACATAAAAGAAGTCAAAGTAGACTTAAATAAAATAAATGAAGACTGAAAGGTGTAATAACAGTACAAAGTCAATTTTCCGCAAATTGGTCTACAGATGCAATTTCTAGGAAAACCCTAGAAAGGTTTTAGTATATGGACGCAAGCTTATTCTTAAATTCATATAGAAAGGCAACAGAACTAGAATAGTTAAAAGAATTTAGGGGGAGGGAGGGGAAAAATGAGGAGCTGATGCCAGGAGCTTAGGTGGAGAGCAAATGTTTAGAGAATAATGAGGGCAATGAATGCACAAAGGTGCTTGTATGGATTGTGATAAGAGTTGTATGAGCCCCAAATGAAACAAAAAAAAGAAAACAAAACAAAAAATTTAGGAAAGAACTGAGGAGAGAGAAATTACTCTACCCAATGTGAAGTCTTTCTCTACAGGTAAGTCTCCAACTCAAAACAGGGTTCTGTTCCAATGGCTCAGTTGTTTAAGTCAGTTCTGACATCTATCAATACCTCCTCTCTTCCTAGTTTTCATCAGTATTGCCTTTTATCGTCAGTATCTTCATAAATTCATCATAATAATGAAGTTGGTTTATGGCTGTTGGGTACACACATAGTTCAACTGTCAGAGTTGAACATGGTGCTATGCTAAGAGTTGAAAACTGCCTGACACTGACTTCCCTGTACACCCAACCATTGCAGGGCTTTGAAAAGCAAATCATAAAACTGACCATCTGTGGGTGAACATCTGAGAAGGATAGCATCAGCAAATTACATACTGCTATAGTACACATAACTAATGATGAGAAGTACCAAAAAAGAAAAGATAGTAGTAAGAGTGGTTCACATTAACTCAAGTAAGTCATAAGTAGGGGACTACCTGTTTGGCTACAGTAATCAAAACAGGGTGGTATTAACCCATAAGAAACTAAAGGTAAGAAAAAATCCTAACTCATTGCCATAAGGTTGATTCTCACTCATAGAGACCCTAAAGGGCAGAGTAGAAAGGACCGTTTGGGTTTACAAGACCCTTTACGGAAGCACACAGCCTCATCTTTCTCTCAGAGCAACTGGTAGGTTTGAACCACTGACCTTGTGGCTAGCAACTCAATGCATAGCCCACTATGTCACAAGGGCTCTTAAAACCCATAATAGAGGGATTAAAAAACCACCATAATGGAACAGAATATAAATAGACCCACAAAATACTGTAAGTTAATTCTCACAAAGACCCAAAAGCAATTAATTCAACAGAGAAAGGATGGTCTTTTCAACCCATGTTGCTAAAAAGCAATTTGATATCCATAAACATGGAAATGAACTCCAACCCAAACCTCACACCCTATTCAAAATTAAATCATAATAGCTTATGGACCTAAATATAAAACATAAAGCTATAAAACTTCTAGGGCCTAGGGCTAGGCTTAGACTTGACACCAAGAAGCAGGATTCCTAACAGCAAAAACTAACAAACTGAACTTCATCAAAAGCTACATTCATGAAAAAGACCCAGCCCTATTGCTACTGATCTTTTGCTAATAATATATTCCTTCCTTTAACTACGATGGTGAGATTTCTGGAAACACTATAGCTCTGGATTGAGGAACCTAAGATTTTGGGAGTAAAAATATAGTTAGAGGACTGGGGCTTTGAATAAATTTAGAAAAAATTTTAAAGTATTATAAAAAATGAACCCAAACAATACAAATGCATAATGTCACTCAGTTAATATTAATCCTAATAGACTTTGTAGAATAAATATAATAGACCTTCCTGACTTAAAATTTTCAGGATCTCTCACCCCTGATGTTCCAATGAGATGACTAAAACTTCATTTTGTTTTCTTAAAAGATACTAAGCATATTTAAGAGTCTTTTAAATATCCATTTTCTAGTCAATAAACTCACGATGGTTTTATGATTATAGTAACTGACCCCCACTTCTGAGTCTCCATATACTGAGATGCTTTGGGGAAACGACTAAATTTATGACAAACTTGATACTATAAACTCTAACACAAGGTTCTCCAGACCAACTTTCCACCACCCACTCTCCCTCCATACCTCAATAAGGTCTTGAAGCACAGTTCTAAAATCTGAGGTTATTTTATTGGCTTCCTTCATCCCTCCTGAGACTTCACTGGGAAAAACTCTGTTTCATACACTGCCTTTCTTTTCTGAGCCCTAGTTCTCCCTATGCCCGAGTATTTCCAACAGGAGGGCTTCACGTGACATTTTGGAATGACAACCTTGGTGCCTGAGGAAAATGGATGTGAAAGTAAACCCAAAGAGCAGAGCGCTCTTCAGAGTAGCGATGGTTACCTGACTCCTGTTTGATTTGGATGGTAGGCTTGATACCAGCTGGCAAAGGAGACTGCTGCTGCGGTGGCTGCTGCTGAGAGACAGGCGCGGGCTGCGCCACCTGGTGCTGTGTCTGCTGCTGCGATTGATGTAACTGCTGCTTCGAAGCCTGCTGCTGCTGTTTGGGAAAGTGGGCAAGAATCTGAGTGGGTGCACCCACTAGGCTTTTGGGGGAAGGAAGTCTGGCTGATGCCATTTTGATTGCTGATGTCGACACACCTGTAGAAGAGTCAAGGAAAGAATTAAAGAGTAAAGAACAATTCAAGTTACTTCTAAATTGAGAGCTGAAAGATTAAATATGTCAATTACATCCTTGCAGTTTAAGGTGACACTTCTAAAATAAAATTCTCTCCTAATGATGACGTGAGCCCTCCCACTCAAAGGGAGAACCAGCAGAACCTGTAGGGCCTTCTTTGGAATTGACATTCTCTTTTGAAACTTTGTTCCTGTTTATTTTTAGATTGTCTTTTTGTTTCACTGGAGTGGTGCTCAGTTTTAAACATTAAAAGTCTACAAGTTGCTTTGTTACAATAAGACTAAATGTGTACACAATAAATATGTCTATTAAAAATTATGACTTATTGAGCATCTAGGAAATGCCAGGTAAAAATGGGTGGCTCTTCATATATTTGGTATCTAGTCTTCTAACTATAAGGGAGTATTATTGTTCCCAAACTGAAAGATAAAATAAAATTAACTGATTTTCTTTGGATAAAGAGGCAAAGCATCAGGCAGGATATTCACAAATCTGACTCTCACTAGTCTTTCTATGTAAAATGGCAAATTCTCAAAACCAATCTGAGTTTTGAATCTTAGTTGTAACATTTGCAATATCACTTTTTTTAGCCATTTTAAACATGGCATTATATAAAATAATTCTCCTTTTGAATTCTTTAGCTTTTTAATATCTCCGTTCCCTAGACTAAAGTCATGCGTGTCATGTGTACTGAGTCTTTAATAATTAAATGAACTGTTAATGGGCATATTCAAACTATATCCACAGCAATAAAAAAATCTCGATACAAAAGGTTTTAGGATATTTCTTTTGTGTGTACTACTATGCAAGCTCACATAAGTAAAAAGTACTAGTAACTTTACTAAAGATGCATGAGCTTCAAAGAAAATTCCTTTTCACCAATTTTCCACTTATAATCATATAATTCATCACTGTCCAACAGGAATGTAATCTATCAATAAATCAATGCTCCAGAGAGGGACCTGGGATATAATTCATCACATGAACTTTTGAGCTCTGCTAAACAATGAGGGAAAAACTAACAAGCAGCCTAATTATCAAATACCACCAGGATGTCAGCTCACAACTTCTTCCACCATCCATGTGGCAATTGCCTTGTACTATAAATATTTTTTTAAATAATAATATTATATCATCATGTACAATGTCTTTGGAGGAGGCTAAATATAGGGGGGAAAGTCCTTGAAAGTTATCCTGGCTCTCTGGGCTTCACCTTCCTAATTTGTTAGTTTCTCCCTGAAAATAGTCTCAGGGTTGTTGTGTGGGTTGAGGTAAGATCACAGACTAAACAGCACTAGAGTGGAGACAAAAGGTACTGTGGGAATTACCTGGAGGTTGTAATATATTTAGAGTGGTAAAAGTAAGCCCTGTGATATAGACTAAGAAAAAACTTTCAAAGATAGGCAGAAAAAAATCAAAGTGATTTACCATGAAAAATCAACTAAACCCAAAGAAGGGGAAAATAAAGGCCAAAAGGTTTAAGACACAAAGACATCAAATAGCAAAGTGGCAGAATTAAGTTCTTTATCAGCAATTGCTTTTAATTGTGGCTGTACTGAACTCTCCAATCAAAAGTCACCGAGTAGCAGCAAGGTAGGAAATGTGACTCAACTTTACATTGTCTACGAGAAACCCATTTGAAATCAAAAGATACAGATAAGCTAAAATAGGTTAGAAAAAACATATTCTACACAGTCAAGAGACCTACGGTGGCTACATAAGTCACACATTACAGACTTTATTTGAAAAATTGTTGAGAGACAAAGTGTATGATCTGCACTTAGAGAAAATGTTCGATTTGTCCCAAAGCTATAACAATTATAAATATATACGCATCACATAGCAGAGCAAGGAGCCCTGGCTGCACAGTGGTTAAGCGCGTGTCTGCAAACCCAAAGGTAAAGATTTGAAAACCCTGTGGGGCAGTTCTACTGTCTTACAGGGTCAGTACAAGTTGGAATTGATAATGGCTTTGGTTTCAGTTTAATAACAGAACCCCAAAGTCGATGACACTACCACTGACAGGACTGAATGGAGAAGTTGAGAAGCCGTACACTACCAGTGGGAGGCTTCAACACAAAGCTGCCAATAGAGTATCCAGACAGAAGATGAATACTGCAAGAAAGGAGCTCCATCCTCCAGTTCCTAAATGCTTCCTCCCCGCTCCCATGACCATGACTCAAATTCGACCTTGCAAGTCTGGCTAGACCAGAGGA